CCATGATTTCATGAAGAAAAAAAGTGCTATTTGTTGTCATCACTGTATGTTTCTACATAGGCTATACCATACATATAATGATGAAATTAGTTCTCTGCATTTAACCCATCACACGTGAGATACACCAAGCTGAGAAGCAGGCAGCGATGTACACATCTGGAAAGCAGATAAGGACTGGGTGTCTTGCTCAAAGACACCAGGGCATGTGGACTTGGCGTGGAGTTTAACCTTTGACAGGTTCCAAGACAACTGCCCTGCCTCTACCCCCCTCTCAAATTCAAAATATTACACCAGACATAACACCTAAGGGCATCAGGCTAACCCACAGATGACTGAAGTGATACTTGCCAAAGTACAAACAACAACAACAACAAATAAATAATAATAACCAACACTGGTGAACTTACACAGATTTATTACTTTCCCCCATATTGAACCAACATAAAACAGAGTTTAAATTAATGAGACTAGCTCAAATGCATTTTCCCATGAAAGGGTATGAACGCTTTATCTACTCAAACGTGACGGTGAAAAACGTCACTAGAAAATAAGCATTGAAATTGCGCCATCTTGTGGACACTAAGAACTTGCCAATTTTAGAAATCTATTAATCCCTTAAATCACGATTCGCGCACACGTTTGTGCATTTGTCCTATTGTTTTCACACCTTGCGTGTGTGTCTCAACTGTATTTGATGTAAGCCAGTTCAATTGTTTAATAAACCTGTAATAAAACGTTGATTATCTAAATCACTGTTTGCGGAAAGGAAAGGTGGACTCCGCGGCGGATAAGGGGCGGAGCTTCACGCCTGTTCCTCTCTAATCTGCGCGTTATGGGTCGCATGCTTCGCCTCAAACGGGAAGAAAGAGGACAGGTCCCCACCTCTATTGAGGAAGTGAAAAGAAACCATAAAAACGACGCAGGAGTCGGCTTCTTCTCTCTTGGTGTGGACAGCAGCGATGCCTCCGCAGCGAGTGTTCGCCGTGCCAAGGCAGCAGTCTCTGCTCCAACCTGCGGTGCTCAACCCGTTTGTTCAAGACACCAAGCTCACCAAAACTGCCATCATTAAAGTGAGTAACCTGTGTGCTGCATTTTAAAGCAAGACGCCCAGAGAGTTGCACTCCCGTGGGTGTTTCTATACACACGAATAAACCTGCTCACAAGCAGGGAGATAATCTGCAAAGGCTTTGACAATCAGCTTGCAGCCCAACAATTCAAGTCCTTGTGGAGTTTTTTTTTTTTTTTTTTTTTTTTTTAAGAGGAAAAATGTGGATTTTTAGAGTTCTGAATGTTTATTTTCTCTGAGCAGGTCAGGTGTTAGCCAGCTGACTCACAGAGTTGACTGTGGTTGTGTGTTTATGACCTCCCCACCCCATGATCATCTCTCAACACAGTGTGCCCTGTTTGGAATCATCCTGGTGCCTCTTCGGGCCGTCCTCATGTCTTTGGTCCTGATGGTGACATGGCCAGTGTCCGTCATCATAACGTTCAAGCATCCTCTGAAGGGAGCAGTGAAGCCAATGACGGGCTGGAGACGGTAACTATGATACATACACAACCCGATCCCACTTCTCTTTAGATCCCCGTACGTCTAGAGTCCTACCAACAACGAATCTGGATTCTGCCGCCTTGACATCTGTGCTGAAAATAAACCAGATTTGCATGCTGTGTGCTATAGCCACTTGTCACACATTCACACTAGTATGTTGCTGTGAGAAACAGTAAAATTGTGTAACCTAGTACAGTGCCAGGCGACTTTGAAATAAGATTATTTTTGACACAATTGAATCTGGGTTATGCAAGTCAATGAAATGTTTCATAACATTACGTATGCACTAATGCAAAGTGCTGTTCTGCAGGTAAAAAGTTGCACCGTCACACATCTCACAAAGGTATCAATTATGGTACAAATAAATTCTGGACTCCTTCATGAAAGTGTAATGGGAAATACTCTATTTTAAACACAACAGATTACCTAATTTTTGTCATACTTTTGAAGTTAATTAGTTTTTTTGTTTTTTTCCTTGTGCAATCTTGCTGACCGTTAGTGTATCATATATGAAAACCTTAACTGAGAAACATCCATCCATCCATTCATTATCTTTATCTGCTTCTATCTTTTTGGGTCACAGGTGCCTATATCCAGCATTCACAGTGTGAAAGGCAGGGGACACCCTGGACAGGTCGCAAGTCCATCCCAGGGTCACATAGAGATAAACAAGACAACCATTCATACTTTCACCTTGGGCCAATTTAGAGTTACCAATCAGCCTAACATGCATGTTTTTGGGCTGTTGGAGACAACCGAAGTACCTGGAGAAAACTCATGCATGCAAGGAGAAAACATACAAACTCCACCCAGAAAGGTCCCCAGCTACGATTTGATCTGGCGACCTTCTCGCTGAGAAGCAACAGCTCCGCCAACTGAACCACCTATCTGTGAAACAGAGGCCGCAAAATAACTGATTCCGTATTCCGTAAAAAAAAAAAAGGGTTCTGTTTAACCATTAAAATAGAGTTTTACTCAAACAAGGAGAAACAGACAAAGCGGGATTTACAAATGCATAAGACAAGACAGAACAAGGCTGCAGACTCTCAAAACTGACGAGGCTTGAAAAAGTGCCTTCTGCTGAATCATGCAAGATCATATCTAGCCCACAAGCTTAACCTCAGCCCCCTACTGTTCTCAGAAAGGAAATAGCGACAAGTATTAACAGGGACTGAAAACAGGACCCACATTTTACATAAAAGAGGCAACAATATTAGACAACTGCATTAGCTTTATGATGTGGCATGAGCGGAACGTGTCCTGTCATGTGGGTCATAGTTGGACAGCAAGCTCATGCAGTCACTACGAGAAAAAAACACGGAGTGAAAGTATCTGAAGCTCCTTGTGTCATATCGGTTGTATATCATGCTCATTCTACTTTAGGCTTTGTAAGACTAGAAAAACAATGTAGCAAATGTTTGATGTTAGGTTAGAAGTCTGTTTTATCTTACAGCACAGGATTTTAATCTGTACTTTATGCATTTTAAATGAAAGTAATATTTTAGCCACAATGTCATGAGCAAGTGCTGTGTTTTTGCTGTAAAATCAGCCTGACGCTGTGTTAAGCCTCCTGCACAGTGGAGAGAGAACCATGCAGCTTTAAATATTCATGTAATCTTTCAGCAGGTTTTAAAACTTCCACGCCACTGTTGGTTATTTTGCCTTAGCGTTACACGATGCACCACAACTTCTTGCTGTTTAAAAGACTTTTAAGGAAGCAATTGGTTGAAGTTATTTTTTTTTTTTTACGTTTTAGTGCAACACTTCCTAAAACTGTATCACTTCTCTTATTTTCAAACAACCTTTTAATTTTTCCATCTCCAGGTTTATGTGTCAGAGGGTAATGGCCGCCCTTGGGAGGGCGTACTTCTTCTCCATGGGTTTCAGAGTTGTGGTCAAGGGTAAACAGGTCGGCAGCAGCGAGGCCCCCATTCTGGCCGTGGCGCCTCACTCCACCTTTTTTGACGGGATTGTGTGCATCGTAGCCGGCCTCCCGTCCACCGTCTCACGTGTGGAGAACTTGGCTACACCCATCTTCGGCAGTGAGTCGCACTTCAGTTGTTTCAAAACAGGAACGTTGGGGTGTAGATGCAGGATGTGCGTGTTTGAACACATAAGTGTGAAACTACTTTGGGGATGCTAAATGTATTTCTGTCTTCATCTCACAACACATTTCACAACCTTTCAAGTAGCACCGTCGATTGTAGGCAGCTTCTATGATAATGTGCTAAAGAATGGATGACACTATTTACACATCACAATATTTAGAAATACAGTATCTGGGAACAACATGTGTTTCATAGACTCAATAGGTTGACATTTTGTTACATATATAATTGTCTGTGTTTGTATCTCAAGAACTGTGAAATGGATTGAACGAGTTTCTTAGAAAGTAATTATTGGATGCACAATTCCTGCCAAAGCTGATATAGCCTAACAAATACAACATTAACAATTGTAAAAATAACAAATAAATTGGTGTTATACTCAGTGAGCTAACACACTGGGCAAGATCTATATACTTTGTAAATCTTTGACAATGCAAGGTGGTGGATGATTGGCGTTCTTCCAAGGAATGCTTGTTTTTTAATATTAGTATGTAATGGGGAGTGGTGGCGCAGAGGTTAGAGAAGCCGGGCCTGTAATCGGAAAGTCACAGGTTCAATTCCTGGTACCGTCAACATCAAAACGTGGGTGGAAAAGGTGAAACACTCACACCTGCCTCCACCCTCATTTGCCTCACTCTGGGCCCCTGAGCAAGGCCCTTAACACCCACCATCTGCTCCCAAAAACGGGTCTCTCTTGAAAATGAGTTCTCGTGACTCAATGAAACTACTTGCATAAATAAAGGATAAATGAAAATGAAAAAGAAAAAACAAAAACTGCACACAAAAGTTAACTTACAAAACTCTATGCAATTTGTGTTTTGCTCCTAGTCCTATGTGTGTGTGTGTGTTGAGCATTTTAGATTTTTTTTTTTCCCCATTCTTGCAGGGTTTGTGCGCTGTCTCCAGCCTGTGTTGGTTTCAAGACATGATCCAGACTCCAGGAAGAACACAATCCAGGAGATTGATAAAAGAGCCAAGTCAGACGGCCTCTGGCCGCAGGTTAGTCAACACAACAACAGCAGGAACTTCAAGAACCGATACTTTGCAGCACTGATTTGGCCTCAGTGCTTTGAAATAATGTAAAAATGAGTCTTTTATAAGTCAATGTCTTGATATAGCAAAATATAAACACTTCTGACTTAATTTAATTTAAAAGAGGTTTGTCACAGTTATTTGCTGCATATGTAATAATAATAACCACAACAATAATTATAATAGTAAATGAACTGTACTGTAATGTAAAACCTTTCTATCTTATCAAAATACTCAAAAAGTGCTTTACACAACAATCTGTGCCCTCATTTACCCATTCATACAGCACTCTACTAGATCTCTACAAATAATAATCAGTGCTTTATTACATTCATACACTGATGGGACACACATCAGAGGCAATGAGTGGTTCATTGTCTTGCCCAGGGACACTTCAACATGTGACTTCTGGTGGAATCAAACCCCCAACTCTTGCATTGGAGGACGACTGCCCCAACCACTCAGCCACAGCCACTGAGTTATAATAATAATAATAAATTGGGGCTTTGTCCTCAGTAATGAGGCAATTGCTTCGATCTGTAGTGGTCACTTCCGGCGAGCTGATGGACGGCAGCTCCCTCCGGCTTCTCTGCAGTCTTTTATCATCAAACTGACCCGTTTTTTCGAACCGGACTAAAGTTGGTCCCCCTTCCAACCGAATTCGGTGTTCAGTGACTCAGAGAGCCAGACGGGACCGTCCAAAAATATATTTTGGTTCATATTTTGGTCCAGGACCGGCCGCCCCCACCCCACCGGTCACTCTGAGCGCACCCTGCCGGCCAGGTGACCCCTCGAGCTGGGGAGTCATCGCATGAAGCTCCGGTGTTTTTTCTCTCTCTCTCTCTGGACCTCAACGAACTCTCATCTGGACCTTTGTGGTTCTACCTGGTTCCGACAAAAATCGCCGGGTGGTATTTCGCTGGTTTTCTGCTGGACTGGCCCTCGTGGTGTCCATAGGTATGGGGGAAGTGTGCCTGTGACCCTCGAACTGGATCAGTACCGAACCGAGGTGGCCTTTATGTCAGTTCAGAATAAAGGGACGAGACAGCCCCTGGTTTACTCCAGAGCTAGCTGACCTCCTGCACAGGAGAGATCATCTTTGGGCTGCAGAGAGAAAATCTGACTCAAACACTGATTGGTTGAGTTTTCGACAGATGAGGAATAAATGCACAACTGCTGTCAAAGCAGCAAAACACAACTATTTTTTATCTCAGACCTCCAAAAATCTAAATGACCCTAACAGATTCTGGAAAACCATCAAATCTCTTTCAGGCACCCCCCAATCATCTGACCTCCCATCACAACTTCTCGTTAACTCTGTTCCTGTGTCAAATACGCACGAGATCCTGAACTGTTTCAACAAACATTTTGTTGCTTCTACTTCATTATTTGACACAGTTACTAATGGAAAATCAGCCATTTCACTTAATAATCAAACTTCTACAAATCAAATCCCTCCTACAAATCAATCCTCAGTTAATTACACCTTCTCTTTTTCTCTGTTCTCAGTCAGTGAGGTCAATAAACTGTTAAAAGATCTTGATCCTAAAAAATCTGCAGGTCCAGATGAACTTCCACCTTATTTCTTAAGGCTGGCTGCTCATATCATCACAGTCCCTGTGACCCACATCTTCAATCTCTCCATAAGACAAAACTCCATCCCAGACACTTGGAAAACAGCCTTTGTTCTTCCTTTGCTGAAGGGAGGAGACCCCACCTCACTGAACAACTATCGACCAATCTCTAAACTCTGTATTTTAACCAAGGTTCTAGAAAAAACTGATAAACTCTCAAATCAAAAATTACCTGGACTCATTTAACATCTTACCTCCACATCAATCTGGTTTCAGGAAACAACACAGCACAACCACTGCTTCACTGAAGGTTCTTAATGATGTTGTTGAAGCACTGGATGCTAAGGATTATTGTGCTGAACTTTTCTTAGACCTGTCTAAAGCTTTTGACACTGTGGATCATAACATCTTGTGTCATAAACTCTCAGAAATCGGTTTCTCAGATCACACCATTGGTTGGTTCTCTAACTATCTTTCAGACCAGGCAATGTGTTCAACATAATGGTACTTCCTCCAGTTATTTAACAGTCAACAATGGTGTACCACAAGGCTCAGTCTTAGGACCCACCCTCTTTACAATCTACATACAAAATGTATTGTAGGTAAAAACATCCCTAATGCATCCATACATGTCTATGCTGATGACACAGTTGTTTATTGTCGAGCTAAAACTGTTGCTAAGGCTTTCCAGCTTTTGAAATCTGCATTCAACAACATCCAGACAGATTTGTTCCGCCTCAAACTTGTTCTAAATGCCGACAAAACCAAAGGGATGCTTTTTTCAAATATGAAGTTGGTCTCAGCAGTTCTTCCTCTGATTTTATCCTCAAATGGTGTCCCCATTGAGTTTGTTGATTCCAATAAATATTTGGGTATCTTGGTCGACTCACATCTCTCTTTTAAGCTCCATGTGGAAAACTTGGTAAAGAAACTGAAAGTTAAACTGGGTTTCTTTTTCAGAAACAGATCCTGTCTAACCCTGAATGCTAGAAAACATCTTGTATCTGTGACTTTCCTTCCCTCCATTGATTACGGTGACATTATTTACATGAACGCTCCTACAAGAACCCTGCAGATGTTGGATGCTGTCTATCATGGTGCACTAAGATTCATAACTGGTTGTGA